AAAAAGTTATAAAACATGAGATTGTCTTCAAAACAAGGAACTATTTACAAAGCAGGACCAGAATTAAAATTCCCATTTTGAGTCTTAGTCTTATGATAGAAACATCTTTTTTTAAAGCATGTGTATGTCCTTGGATGTGGGCTTTTCCAAAGTCTCAATAGGCAAACCCGTCAGTCTTGAATATATTTTATACTTTCTTGCTCTATTGGTATGCATTACTCAGTGATGCAATTGATACCTAAAAGTGCTAATCTCATTTACTGATTTATGCATCAACTAGTTACAGTGAAAAAAGACATTGATGAAAAATCCCCACAGGTGTGAGGAACTTGGGGTGAGTGTGTGTGCCGCCAGTAGGGTTACTTTCTTAGAGAAATGAAATTTTCAGTTGACCCGTGCATGCGCTCAGTGCAGTCTCCAAAATGAGCATCTTCATTTCTATTCATGAATCCCGCGGTTTCCACTCATCTGTGTGTACAAACTCTCCCTGCCTTCACAGAGGCCAATGCTGCGGTAGACATGGGTGAGAGAGATTCTACAGGGTTATGAGAAAAGACAGCACCTTGTCCTTAAGAATCCACAGAAGTTTGCTCCTTAAAACATGCTATGGAAGCCAAGTTCACATCTTTAACAGAACTGTGCTTATAGCGAATAAACTGGCATTTAACTGGGTGACTGAAGATAGGAAGGGCCAGGTTTCATGCTCACAATTATGTTCAGAAAAAGCCTTGCACGAGTCTATGAATACCCACCAGGAACTCTGTTTGGGGTTGACCTCAGATCAGCTGTAAAGAAACAGTTCCTATTCATAGGGCACACGGCCATGCCTCAGAAAAGTCTTACAGCCCAGTTTCATGTAAATTTGTCTTGAAATTAAGTCAAGTTCATTTCGGAAAAATGTGGACCAGAAAAAACTTTAAAGATAATAAAATTTGTCCTAAAAAGTCATTAGGATTCTCCAGACCTATTTTTCGCATACCCTTTAGTTTTCCCTGAGGAAATGGAATATTATTTACAATAATTTGTTAACTATTCTCGAGGCATTCTCTATTATATACACAATTCTCATCACTTTTCTTGTCCAGTGAGTGCTTCTGCACTTGTTTTCATTTGCAAGGAAGTCTGATGAAGGGGAAAATGTACTCAGAAGTGCCGACTCCAAGCTATGGGCTGCCCTCAATAGTGTGGCTTCGTGTGACACCAAAGAGAGCTGACTTAAACTCTGCTGATCTTGACATCTGATGGAGGGCATTTCAATTTCAGCAATCATTGGCATCAGACACATGACTATTTCTTTGAAAAGTTTTTAGAAAGTCCAAGAACTGTAACATGTATTGTTCTCTACAGAACATTGTCATCTGCAACATGGTTAGGAGGGGGCAAACAAGTCTCATAAAGGATACAGTACTCTGCTGGTCCCTGGAGTTGCTGGCAGGCACTTCATAGCTGAGCACTCACAGTCCTGGTCAGAAACCCACCACCTTCTTCCTGACGTGGGCTGTTGCCAGCTAAGGGAGGGAAGTTTCCAGAAAATGAGGTGGAAGGTGAGAGTCCACGTCCATTAGAGACATATGGACAGAACTCCATCTTGGCCACTACTTCCCTTAAAGTAGTGCACTCCTTGCTTCTGGCAGCTGTTCCCAGAGGGAGGATGTGGCAGCTCCTCAGAGGTGCTCAGGAATCCCTGGCTTCTTTCATGCAGGTGGTTGGACAGCACTAAAGAGATGGGCGGGAGTCAGGCATCCACATGCCTCTTGTATCTTCACTCTGTCCCCCACCCACTTGTTACCTGGGCATTTTTTTCCAAGTTGTCACACTACCTCCAGCCAATTAAGTGTAATGTCCTCTGGGAAGGGCTAAGGCATAAAACCACTTTTGGATGAACACTCTTTTGCATTACAGACGTCTGGAGACTGCCTTGTTATTATAAAAATGCTCTCCTTGGAGAGAGATGAGGAACCTTTTCTGAGGGAAAGACTATCAAGGGAGAGCCTCTTCCCCACAAAACCAAGAAACCAGAAAGCTACAACATGCCTTATTTAGAAATTCTTTGGGACCATAACGGAATCCATTGTATTACCACTTGTTCTGTACAAACAGGCCTCTGAGATAAATATTATCAAGGAGTCCTGTCAAGTGGCCAGCTTGCAGGGGGACTTCCTTCCCATCATTCCCTTCCTCTCCCTACCAAATGAAGACATAACTAGGACTTGATCCACAGGGGTGGCATAAAATGGATGTCTGCTTAATTTGGTACTTCATTAATTCCCAGATATAGCAAAATAACTTTTTAAAATGTTGCTTTTACAATCCATGGCTGTATACTGCAATTCATAGGTTTCTGGTTAGCTTGGAGAAAGTATGGTTTTTTTTCCTTCAAGGTCAGCCAGGCCAAGCTTGGTGTTCTCCTAGTTACTACATGACTTGGTACAGGGAATGGATGCCTATGTGTCCTGGAAGGCGCTGGGGCCAGTCTCTGTCTGCACCTTGGAAATAGAGAAGAGAGTACACAGAGCCCTAGGTTGTACCCGCCTGGCCAGTGAAAAAGGAGTGTGCAGGCGGGAGACACAGAAAAATATGGATGAAGAAAGCGCTAGAGGGAATATGTCATACCAAGCTGCATTCAGCTTTCTGCTTCTACCTGTGCATGTGTTAGAAACCACTGAATCAACTCAGCTGGGCCTGAGCTCAGACCTACTTATGAGAACTACTCAGGGCTACATCTTGGAAGTGAGAATGAACCATGGAGCCCTGCTTCAGGGAATGTTCCACACCAGAGATCTCTCCCTCCCATATGCTCCAAAGTTCTGGGAAGAGGGGATGGATTTAGTCCCTCACCACTTTAAACTCTTTAGATTACTGAATCAGGGCCAGGGAGTTTTGCTGAAGAGAAAAACGACTCCAGGACTGCATCCTGACCATCACTGATGTCCATGGTGAACTAGCTCCAACAGGTGGGCCACTAAGTAATGCACTCAGAACTGAGGCCCTCCAGAACTAGGTCAGCGGGTGATTACGGAGATGACAGGATGCCCGGAGATGAGAAAGGACATGCTGGAGGAGAGGAAGCATTTAAAAAATGCCCTTTCATGGCTGACTTTGTAAGTTCTAAAGTATACATTATTATAGCTGGGGCTGTGGCCATTACTGATTCGTAGTCATGATGTGAACTAATAAGAAAAAGCTCTTTTTCTGTGCTCTAGAAATAAATGGTTTAAAAAAATAAATGGAGAAAGAAAATTGAATCTTTTACAAAGAATAATAAAAAAGCCATATGAGAGCTTAAAAAAGGAAAATTACCATAAAATATGAGTATATCAACTGTAAGTGCTATACCATAGAACCTCATATAGTTGAAAAAAGGGTTATCTTATTATTAGATGACTCCTTTCCACTCTTTTTAAAAGAAAGTATATGTGCAATCTCTAAACATACATACTTTCCTCTGTGCAAGTTCATTTAATATTCCTATGGCTGATCCTATGTCCCTAGGCCCTACACAGTGTGTCCTATAAGGTGCTCACTGCTTTGCACAGGTATAGGAAGAATACCTCTTTAGCGGGGTAACTGAGAGTCGATAGAGAATGAGCTGATTTATAGGGCTGGACTTCTATTGCCATTTCCTCCCCACTACCACCTGAATTCAACCAACCGACCAATGGACAGATCAAGCAATCAAGCAAACAAACACACTAGGCTAGAAAGCCTGGCAAATGGAACCCAATAGAAGCCCCGGCCTTAACAAACAGAGATTCCTATACCAGCAAGCATTTTCCTTTTGGTGTTCTGTATGTTCCCCTCTGAGCTAATTCTCAATCAATAGCTTCCATATTTTATAAGAAAATAAAGGTCTGGACCAACCCTTTATCCATATGTTTATATTCATTAACCCATCTCCCAGACATGCTAAAGCATCAAACCTATAAAAGTGCACTCAGAATGGAAGTTGGTTGGGTGACCTAACATGACTATCTGAACAACTGGGGCCATAGATGGTAGAGGATGTGCTTTGTTGTTCAATGCCAATCTGCTGGGGCAGTTAGTACTTCTCGACCCTCTCTGAAATCAGTCAGTGGTGGAGTTCTGAAGAAAGCACCTATTCACTTGGCAACATTTTGACATACAAGCGGTAACCAATAGATCCAAGCTGCAGTCTGAATCACATCCCTGAAAGAAGCATCGAGGCTTACCCAGACGGCTACACGTGCCAGTGCTTGCCTGAGTGTTGGTCGAGAATCTGACGTGCTGCCTCTTGGGGAAGCGCACCTTACAAAATCCACGGAAAACGCCGAGATGTCTCCCAACACTGACAGCTGGATTTCTGAACTCCACTTGAGGCTGAAGTTTGCTGGTGATTTCCACTGCTAATCTCTTTTTGAATCTATGCCATTCCAGGCCCTTCAAATTTACAGCTCTACCACGGTTCAGTTTGAGGCCATTTTTAAACAAAACCCAAAAAAGGATTCCCCGAGTGCTGCACATTCCTGCAACACATTATGATGTGAATTGTCCCATGAAATCAAATGGAAAACAGGAAAATGATTATTCACAAGGAAAGCAGGTACCGTTCTTTGTACAAATGCTACTGAGTAACGTGTAGCTTATGGTTTTTTAAGTGTCAAAAATAGTCAGAAACGGCATTATTCAGAAAGCTTATCAAAATTCGTCTCCTTACTATGCAAAAAAGGGCTTTGTTTGTTCAATTGCTACGGAAGTTCATAGTTTTAAGACCTAGACACAAAGCAAAAAATGGTTGGCTTTCTTTAGAAGGAAATAAAGGGTACAGCTGCTCTGGGCTGGATTCTCAGTCACAGCTGTGAGGGTGGTGACTTGTTTTTTTGCAGTGATTCCACCAAGTTTCCTGGAAGTGCTTTCCCTGGGCTTGAAAGTGCATTTTGTTTGGGAGCAAAACTGCTTTTCAAAACCTGCGGTGGAAGAAGATGGAGTAGCTCAGTGTGCGTGCGCAAACGCACAACCTCTCGCCTGGAGAGTGGTGTTTCTCAGTCAGTGAACCTCTGGCAGGCCTTCTTCCAGCGGCAGGCGGTGCACCACATGTCTCGGTTCTCCATGCCATATACCTTCCGGCACTTTTTGCCCTCTCCCCTGGGCTTTCTGAAAAATAGAAAAAGAACACTGATTCAGTAGGAGTTCAGTGAGCATTCTATAGAGAACTCGGAATCTCTTGAAAGGAGCAAGAAAAATGGTCAGGAAACTAGTGGAGGGTCTCTGTAGGTTTCACATGGTGCGTTTTTTTCATGGCCACTAGTCTTGTCTTTTAGTTCATTAAGGAAAAAAAGTTAGTGCAACATAGCTTTAAGCCCAATAAACACCATTATCTATTCTGTAAGAAAACGTACCATAAGTTACAATCCTCCCCATACAAATTCATTAATGGTTAATAGTGTATTCTGTAAGAAAACATATTCATTGCTGGCAAGAATATAACATGGTGTAACTCCTGTGGAAAATAGTTTAGGGGTTCTTTAAAACAATTATATGAGTAAACAGTGATCCCACTCCTGGGTATAAGCCCCAAAGACTCAGGAACTGAAATACACGTTTGCATACCAATGCTCATTGTAGCATTATTCATAATAGCTAAGGGGTAGAAACAACCCAGGCAGCCATCAACAGTTAGTTGGATAAGTAAAGGCATGCTAGGTGCATATATGTGTGTATATAAACATGTGTGTGTGTGTATGTGTGTGTGTATATATGAATATATGTGTCTATACGTATATGACTAGGGAATCCTGCTGTGGTTCTGTGGGTTAATGAGCCAGACTGAAAAGCCATCTGAACTACATAAGGTCGGTGGTTCAAGCTCCCTAGTTGCTCCTTGGAAACCCTATACAGGGTCACTATGGGTGGGAACCGACTCGACGGCACTTAACAACAACAATGGATATGACTATTATTTAGCCATAAAGAGACATGAAGTTCTGGAGTGGCTGGACCTTGAAAATATTATGCTGAATGACACAAAAGACAAATATAGTATGATGCTACTTAGATGAAATACCTAGACTAGGTGACTGCTTATTAGTGGTCACCAGGAATTGGGTGGGATGAGGGAATGGGAATTACTGCTGAAGGGATTCTAAATTTCTGCTAAAGGATAAAGAAAAAAATTGGTAACAGATAGTGGTGATGTTGCTATAGCATGGTGAACGTAATTACTGTCACTGAATATCTATATATCTATATCTATATCGATATCGATATATAGAGAGAGGGAGAGAGAGAGAGACCGAGACCTTGTGTGGTGCTGTGGGCTAATGTGCCAGACTGCAAAGCTGTTTGAACTGCAAGGTTGGCGGTTCAAGCTCACCAGCTGCTCCTCGGGAAATGGGTTGGAATTGACTCACAGCACTTAACAACATATATATGCATGTATGTGTGTGTGTGTATATATATATGTTTTATCACAATAAAATAATACTACAACATTGTAAACCAATACCCTTAAAACAACATAATAACTGTTAATGAATAGGGGAAAAGACCTGGGATGAAAATAAAAGGGATTTCAGTCATCCTGGGAGCATATCATGGAAGACTGTATTTCTGGTCCCTCTTCTTCTTGCTCTTCTTCTAGTTTTCATTTAATACCTTGACATGAGGCATGGGGTTTCAGTAGTGGTACCTTAGGCTGACGGTTCCTCTGGGTGGGGAGGACAGGACCGTGTGGGTGTGTTGTCTCTGCTCTCCTGTGCCCATCAGATGGTTATGTGTTGGTGAGACCTGGTAAATACATGGAAACACAGTTAATAGGGCAATTTCTCCTTACCAAGCATTTAGCCTTTGCCACATGGATGTGGTAATTGACCATCAGACACAGAGATGAAGCATTTCTGTTACAGAGACCATGTGTAAAAATAGGTGGAGTAATGATTATGGCAGCCTTTAAATGCATCCCCAGACTTAAAAAAACCTAGCAAAAATTAATGTTTGAGTACTCTTCATGACTTCGTATATAAGTACTCCAAGTTCCCCATGATAATATATTGCTGATTGAACAATATTTAAAAACTTAAAGTACATTCCCAGTTATTTCATTTAGGAACCCTATCAGGTACAGCAAACCTCATGATTCTTCTTCTAGAGATGAAAATTATCTAGAGACATTAAGAGATGTGTCTAAAAGTACAGAACTAGTATTGGAAACCCTATATAGGGTCGCTGTGAGTCAGAACAGACTCACAGGGACTTAACAACATACAACTTGTCAGCGGCAATGACACAACATGGACCTAGGCCTTCAGTTTGCTCTTTCTATTAGATCATCCAGTCACTGAATAAAGAGATTTGCATAGACACCCCACAGTAGACTCTGGGAAATAAAGGCAGGAAGTAAAGAGTCTGAGTAAATCAAGAGCACGTGTCATCCATGTAACACTTATGAAGCACTCACTATGTACAGGTATGCTGATTAAAATCTTTAATTTCTATAGCTATCTGATGGGGTCAGTACTACTGTTGTTAAAGTGCCGTCAAGTTGGTTCTGACTTAGTTGGACTCTATATAGGGTTTCCAAGGAGTGGCTGGTGGATATGAACCTGGCAGTCAGTAGTCCACTAACTATCCTACATTGTCACACCAGAATCCTAAGTATACTATTATTGTTCCCATTTTACAGAGAAGGAAACAAAGGCATGTATAGATAGGCAGTTTCATCCGAGATCATTGCCGCATTCCAAAGTAACATGTTTACGGTCATAGAACTTGTAAAGGGCAGAGAGCGAGTGTTACACTGCAGCTTTCCTGGACAACAGAACATACATTTCACTCCCTGATACTCTGCCTCTTAGTCATAATAACAGTAAGATCCCTCTAGGACTACTTACTAGACCTTTTCCATCACGTGATCTCATATTAATAAGTATCTTGCCAGCTCTTGGGCTTCTCAAAGCTGCCCCAAACAAAACAAAACAAGACAACAAAAATCCCCGTGACTTTTATAACGAGAAAAATGAATGATGCATCAAGTAGTCATGGAGTATTACCATATGCAGACGAACATACACTTAATAAAACAATCAGTTGCCTAGAAACCAACATAGTCATGGAAATAGTTTTGTCGATTAACTGTCATGTGAGCATTCCTGAGGCCTATGTTTAGATATACAGGTACTAGTACTTGTATTTTCTCTCAGTGTAAAGGGTTGTTGTTGTTGTTGCTAAGTGCCATCAAGTTGCTTCCTACTCGTAGTGACCGTATACAGCGTTTCCCAGGAGTGGCTGGTGGGTTTGAATCACTGACCTTGTGGTTTGTAGTCCAGTGCTTATCCTACAGTGCCACATCAGGAGTCCAAAGGAATGTTGGTGGTTATGTGCTGTGGAGTGGATTCTGACTCATAGCGACCCTGTACAGGGTTTCCGAGGCTATAAATCTTTACGGGAGCAGAAAGCCTCATCTTTCTCCCACAGAACAGCTGGTAGTTT